AGCAGTTGAGGCTGCGGTGGCCGGAAGCAGCCACTGTACTCCAGTCTAGGCGACAGAGTGAGACTCCAACTCAAAAAAACAAACAAACAAAAACAACTGAACTACTGATACACACTATGACCTGGATGACCCTCAAACACATTATACTGAGTGGAATTAGACACGAAAACCACATATTACATGGAATACAGGAAAGCAAACTGATAATGACAGAAAGCAGATCAGTAGTTGTCTAGCAATGGAGGCAGGAGTACAATGAACTCCAAACAGGCAGGCTGGGTGCAGGGACTCGCGCCTGTAACCCTAGCACTTCGAAAGGCCGAGGTGGGAGGACTGCTTGAGCCAAGGAGTTTGAGACCAGCCTGGGCAACACAGCAAGACCCATCTCTGTAAGATATCAAAAAGAAAAAGCAAATTAGCTGGGAATGGTAGCACACACCTGTAGACCCAGCTGCTTGGGAGGCTGAGGTAGAAGGATTGCCTAAGCCTGGGAAATCGCAGTTGTGGAGAGCTGTGATCACACCACTACACTCCAGCTGAAGCAATAGAGTGAGATGCCAACTCAACTCAAAAAACAAAACCAAAATTCAGACACTAGGGAACTTTTGGGGGTCATATAAATGTTCTGAAATAACTGTGGTGATGGTCTTCCAACTCCATGTACTCACTAAAATTATTAAACCATAAACTTATATGGAAAGAATCTTATGATATGCAAATTATACCTTAATAAGGTTGTAAATTTGTGAAAAGGGAAGCATGATGAAGAGAGTAAAAAGACAACCCAAAAGTTGGAAAATCACAGTTAACATATAAAAGCAACAGCAGATTAGTGTCCAGAATATATAAAGAATACTTGTGGCCAGGCACGTGCGATCCCAGCACTTTCAGCGGCTGAGGTGAGAGGTTTGCTTGAGGTCAGGAGTGTAAGATCAGCCTGGGCAACATAACAAGATCCCGGTCTTACTTTTAAAAATATGCTATTTCAGTAACCAGACAGGCAAAAATGCCTTTGACAATACTTCTAATAATTTCTCCTATGAATCTATTTTTTACCAGGCCACAAAGATATATATGCAAAGAGAGTAGCTGGAGGACTGTCTGAGTTTCCAGATGAGAGCACCTGACCATCCCCAAACAGAATGCAGGTAAACTACAGAACTCTCACACGCTGGAACAGAAAGCAAAAGCAGAAACTTGCAGGCTGACACATGGCCAGGGACTACCTATGACAATACTGTCACATGGAAAGAGCGAGGTGCAGCCCTGCAGGAGTGCTCTTGGGTTTATACACAGAGCAGCGTGATACCCACACGCACGCACATCCTCATGTGTGCTCTGCTTGTCTGCAGACTGCTCCCAGTCCTCTTCTCTCAGGAGGTGGGGCCCCGACAGGACCTGAGATGGTGTGTCTTCATGTACCCTGGAAGCTTCCAACATGCACACATTACCTAGTTTTTAAAAGAGTTAACTCCATATACATTCTACTCATCACCACAAGGAACGTGCTCTAAGATCGACTACATCCTTGGCCATAAATCAAGCATAAACAAATTCCCTAAGATTGAAATTCTAAGATTGAAACCACAGTGAAATAAAAATAAATATCAACACCAACAAAGTTTCCCCCAAACCCACAAAGACATGAACACTAAACAGCATGATGCTAAACAACTTCTGAGTCAACATGGAAATCAAAATAGAAATTAAAAGATACCTGGAAACAAATGAAAACGAATAAACATCTTATGAAAACCACTGGGAAGTCATGAAAGCAGTTCTAAGAAGAGAATTCATATCTCTACGAACATACATGAAGAAAATGGAAATTTCACAAGTTAACAGCCTAACAAGTCACCTAAGAAAGCTGGAAAAGCAAGACCACCAAAACCCTAACTTCAGCAGAAGATTACAAATCACCAAAATGAAAAGCCCAAATCCGGGAAATAGAAGACAAAAATATAATACTTAAAAAAAAGAAAAAAAGGAACCAAAAGCTAGTTTTTTAAAAGGATAAACAAAATTGATGGACCCCTGACTAGACTGACCAAGAGCCCAAATAAACACAATCAGAAATGCAAAAGATGAAGTCACAACTGAAAATGGAGAAATACAAAAGATTATCAGAGATTACTATGTACACCTGTATGGAAACAAACTTGAAAACCTAAATGAAATGGAGGACTTTCTGATATCACACAACCTCCCCAGGTTGAAATAAGAAGAAATTGAGACCCTAAATTGACCAATAACAACCCAGGAAATCGACTATGTCATAAGAAAACTACCTATCAAAAAAAGCCCTGGATTAGATGGCTTTCCAGCTGAATTTTACAAAACATACAGGGAGCTGAACCAATCCATCTGAAAGTATTCCAGGCAATCAAGAAAGATGGAACTCTCCCCAAATCACTGAATGAAGCTAACATCACATCGATACCCAAACCGAGTAAAGATCCAACAAAGAAAGAAAACTATAGGCCAATATCCTTAA